CAGCTTGCTTTCACGTCTGAATCCAAACAGGACACAAGTCCAGCCCAGAAAGTTTGGGTGCTTGTATGGATCCAAGGTGGTTGATTGTAGCTGTGTTGGTCTAAGGACATAGGCAGGCAAGGTTCTTTGGGCAGATGTGATATCTTTTATTAAACCAACTAAACAGCTGGAAAAAAAGTTCTTTGCAAGCTTTCGGGCACAAACACCCTTCCTCAGGTAATGGGGGACTATATGGATCCAAGATCTCCCTAACAGGTTTTGACTCAGACCCATCCCTAATCTAGATGACAGCTGGCTCTGGGAATGAGACATTTTATTTCCTCTGCAGTGTTTCATCAAAATAGGAGCTCCATTAAGGTTTAAGATAGAAGGAATAAAATGAGTAGTACTAGAACTAGAAACCCATCGAGCAAGGCAATGGGGACCTACGCCCTGAGTTCCTCCTTGGTATTAATCCACACAACTCTGGTATTCCACTGATTGTGCCTTCAGCCTTATTTTAACCCCGGACTCCCATCATAATAAAACTGCCACACACAATCTTCAGGACCCATGCACACTGGGTAAGGTAACGCTAGATTGCAAGGGAGACCCTAGCGTCTAATTGCAAGGGTGGAGTTTTAGCAGAGGCACCTATTTGCATGACATACCACATGCAGTAACATTGCCTGCATATAGCGTCCCCAAAGCATGGCCAAGTTTTAAAAATATGACCCAAAGCTTTTTATTTTTGTGCAGGTGCATGCCATTTATTGCAGCGGTTAGGGCCCTGTTGGTGCTTTTCGCTTTGCCCTCTACACACCCATAGATCCCATAAAACCTGCCTCTGTACACAGATCAGCTGGCCTCCAGCAAACTGTAGGGTAAACATTGAGACATGCTGATAATAATCAGTCATCAATTCATTGGGAGAGCTATAGTTTCCACCACTGCAAGTCTTAGGACTCCAGAACTGTTTTATGTGGTTCATTAGACAATACCGTCTCTGGCTACTAGTTGGGTCAAGAGTCAAAACTGCAGTGTAATTGCAAGTCTCCAAACACAAGGCAATAGTTTTGCAGTCTTGGAAGGTGTTGTTCAAGGAGCAGGGGGGGAAAAAAACAGAAGGAAGAGATTATGAATGAGCAATTGAGTCCTACTGTGAGGGCAAAAAAAGTCACTGGAACTGGGACTAGACAAGATCTTGTAATGAAAAACAAAGGCCCTGTTAGCAGGCTGGTACATATATATACCTAAGAGGGTCAGGGGAGAAGGGAGTCATGGGTGGGCAAGAGAAACTAAGTAGCTGGGGAGACATGGATTAAAGAAGGAAATTAAGTAATGCAAATAGCCCAAAATATTATTCTCGCATGCTAAAACATCCCATAGCTGTTCAGTTCCCTTTATTTTTAGCTAATTATGCATGTGGTGATACCAGTCAAAACGAGCCTGACCCTAAGTTAATCAAACTCTGTTACTGAACTTGTACTGGGGGGGGAGACTTTAATAAAAACTAAATAAAGATCAAGTAGAAGTAAATAGCTCAACTGTTATTATTAATAAATCAAGGCCTCTCTTTCTTTTGTTTGCCAGCACCCACAATATTTTATGGCTCTGCACAAAGCTAACACACCATTTTATTACATTTCAGAGAGTGCATCCTCCTAAAATGATAATGTGTTAATAATCTATGCTGAGCTTTTTGGCAGGAACCAAAGAGCTCAAGCAACTTGAAATAACATCAGCAAAAAATTATTTATTCCCCATCCCTGGTTGCACAGAAAACAGAGGTTTTCTTGGCTCAGTTACATCTCAATAGATTTCTGGTTTCAATTAAAACTTTGAGTCTGAGAAGTAACAAGGAAAAAAAAAAAGCCAAGAGGGGATAGAAGACACCTCTGTTTCTGTGTGTTTCTCCTCTTTCTTTTTCCAATTTAAGAACACAGATTCAAGTACGAGGATGTTGTTTGGGGGGACATATTTTTTCACCATTCTTCTCAGTTCACTGCTGATCAGATTGGGGCATTAGTAGGACCGAAGGCCAAGAAAACCTGTGAGTGGTTACCCAACAAGAGAGCCACTTTTACAATGCCATTGAAATACATTTTTTCTCCATCTCCATCAGAAGATCCCAGTCACTTGTTTCTCTAGGTCGGTGGCATTCGAGCCTAACCTTACAAGCAAGAGGCAAGGATTTAGGGGGTGATTTTTTTATTGGACCACCCAGGAGAGACCTTGGACAAGCCCATGGGCACTAGGTACTCTCCCTGCCCAGACCTGAAGCAGTAAAATCCACACCTCTTGCATATCTCCCGGACCATCCGAGCTGTAGCGCCACTCCAACCCTGCTCTAAGGACCGTTACAGCATGATTGTAGGCTACAGAAAGTCTGTCCTGGCTGCAGGGGCTGCTGAATCAATAATTGCTACCATTTGGGTGCATGCTATGAAACGCAGGATTGGATTTGCCAGCAGTTCTTTACCCCTGAAATCCTCCTGTCAATATGAAAGGGATCAAATGACTTCCCCTGACAGCAGAGGACTAGCAGGCTCAGCATTTTACTTGCCCAGAACATCCTTTTTCATTTGACAGATGGACACAAGGCAACCCGCCGGCCACCCCATGGCATATCAGAGCCTGCAGAATCGCGGCTGCCCCAGCTGCCCAGGCTGGGGGCTGGTTCCCTCCCAGCAGTTAATGAAACACCTCTCCTTGCAGCATGCGCCGGAGAAATCCTGCTTCCTCCAGCCTGTCCCCCTCTTGCATTTCTTTGCCACCTACTCCTCCCAGTGCTCAACTCGGATTACAGGATCGCCAGGGACGGCAGCAAGCCTGCCTCTCCCACCAGCCCAGAGGGACCCGAGTGGGGTTTTTGCAGAACTTTTTGCTTTTTTTCTCCCCAGGTCTCTTCCTCCATCTCCCTGCAAGCTCCCCCCAGCAGAGCCATCCACACGCTCCTTTCTCTCCCCCCTCCTCCTGCCCGCCCCCGTGGCGGCTCCCCCAGGCAGCAGGCAGACAGCAGGGACCACAAACCCAAGTGTCACAGCAGCCAGGACAGCCCGGCCCTGCCACCCCGGTCCTGCTCCCTCCCGGGGCCGAGCGGGACAGGCCCGGGAAGCGGAAACGACTCGGAAATCCGCCCGTCGCCGCCGGCCAGCACCGGCCAGACCCGGGAGCGC